TTTATTCTGTTACAATATTGTTGTTGTATTCTGATAGAATTGTAGTTAATTGTTTGTATGTTTAATGTGTAGTTGTTACAAGTGTATCACTACGAATTACTTGGCAATGAATTTCTAATAGAAATGGCTTGAAGACTTGATGGGAAAGGCTTGAAGAATGAATTAAAGAATGATCACACTCATTGTTTAAGAATGTTATTATTTTTTAAGAATTAATGTTTGTTATAATTCAATTAATCACAATCATACAATGTAATTATTTGGTATATTATTAGTTCAAGAATCGATTTTGTGTATTCTTTCAGAATGTATTTACTAGTTTATGGTTAACATTCTGTCATTCTGACAAAATAAAATCGAAAAATATATTTACTAGTTTATTGCTAACATTCTATCATTCTGACAGAATAAAATCGGATTTTTTATTTTGAATTAATTTAAAATATTCAGATTTTTAAAAATAAAGGAATTAATTATCCCTAAAAATACAAAAATTTCCTTTTTTAATATAGGTTAATTGACTAAAATGTCTTTATGCTGAAATTTGTATGATTATATGGTACATGCTATCCTATTCTACTATCATAGACCCTCAGATCATGACCCTTAATTATATAACATCCAATGCTAGATCTGTTCATTTTGGCACACAATAGTTACTAGAATCAAAATAATCTAAGCTTATATATATATATATATATATATATATATATATATATATATGAGGGTTCAATTAAAAAACAAAAAGGTTGAGAATGGGGGAATCATTCTCAACCACTTATTTATTTTTGACGCAAAAACCTCCGTCGTACCAACAGAAATGAGAAAGGAATAGACATGTTTTTTCCTAGAAAATATGTTTCCTTAAATTATGCTAAGCATTACCTTAATATATATACAAAAGTATAGTTTTTTCGTTTTTTTTTTAATTTTTAAGAAACTATTTTTATCGAAAAATGATTTTAAATATACCAAAATTTATGATTTTTTATTGTCTATAAATAGACATCCATATTGATATAGTTTTAAGATAAAATATTTTTTTTAATATTTTCAGCTATCGTTATACATAAGCGAATAAAAATTAATCAGGTTTTTACTACAGTACATTCGTTATTCACTTATGAATAAAAGCTATAATTATTATTATTATTATTATTTTTTATTTTTTACAATTTAAGTAGCATTCATATATGAATATAGTATATACTAAACATAGTATATTCATATTTAAATATCAGACGATTCATTTACTTGCGAATATTACATTGTATATTCACTTGTGAATATTAGATGCTATATTCATTTATGAATATTAGATAATATTTTCATATATGAATATTACATAGTATGACATGGTATATCACATATGAATATTACAATGTGTTTTTCACAAATTTATAATTTTTATATGTTATTTACATATGAATAATATACAGACTTACATATTCTTTTGTTGTTTTAATACTCATATACTGATTCAGATAAGAAAACATATTTATATATGAATATAACGTGGTAATTTCATCAAACAGTTGGAGTGCATACAATTTAAAATTTTTAAAAATGTTAAAAACATGATACTTTGATTATTTAAATGTAACAAAATAGTAGATAGATAGAGAATTATATGAGATTTTAAAAAAAACAATTTGATCTTTTTCTAACATCAATTTTGAAGTTTTATTTCAGAATCGATGTTGAATGAATGATATGAAGTGAATTTTATTGTTGATTATCATTGATGTTGATCTAATAATGTCGTGAGTATAATTAATCGTAGATGTTGAAGATCTGATCGTATTCAAGCAGAATTGAAGGTTGGATTAAAAGAACAAAAAAACGAAATTATGTTGTTAACTGTTGAATCGTGTTGATAAACATGTTATTGATGAAGATCGACGATTGATTAACAGCAGGTGATGTTGATGATGGTTTAACTGATGAAATCTGGATGCTTCTTGAAGGTTGGAGGAGAAATTTGGATGATAAACGATCGAAATTTCTATACAATTACGCATTTGAGATTGAAGGTTATTATCATATTTACAATTTTGTTACCGTGCCTTTTTATGCTTAGATTAAATGAGTGGCTCAGAATGATTTTCACATTCTCAACCTTTTATATTTTCTCAATTGAACCTCTCTCTCTCTCTCTCTCTCTCTCTCTCTCTATATATATATATATATATATATATATATATATATATATATATATATATATATATATATATATATATATTGGGAAGAGTTATATGGAAAATAAATGATTAGGACAACACATATTTGAACCAATAAAAACATGACAACACATTACTTCCACAATAACTTCCACAATACATTACTTGTGAAGAAAGAAATGGACACGTGTTATTTGATTATTGGTTCCGGTAGATGTTGCCCTAATTATTTGTTTTCCGTAGAACTCATTCTTTTATATATATATATATATATATATATATATATATATATATATATATATATATATATATATATATATATATATATATATATATATATATATATATATATATTTGGTAAATCATTGATTATATACGATGGTCCAAAACCACCCAAATTATGTACACCCTTGGGGAAACAATAAATGGTCCAAATGGGGTACTATTCACATAGCCTTCCTCCCAATTTCCAAGTGAGCCCTACTTTGCTACAGTTGAAAATATGTATATTTGGTTGAATTTATATCCGATTTAAATGATTTATATTGTATATTACCGATAGGGATTGATATAAATATAGTCATAACAATGTCGGTAAAATATACCATTTTCGATATTTCATTTAATATATATTCAGGGGACAATTTCAATTCATATAGCTATACTGGTTAAAAGTTGATTAATACATAATTGAGTTAAGTTTTATGATTTCCATTTTCCAAAACCACGCTAATATAATAAAAAGATTTGTTGACTAAAAAACCATATTTTCGATTTATACATTAAGTCCGTAATGATTACTACTAAAAAGCCTATCTGGCGATCATCGGCAATATATGAACGGTTCGTTCATTTTGAAGGTCCTTTGTGGAATATAAAAAATAGGCCCCTAAATATGTTTGTATATAAAAACAAAATCATTTTGAAAGTACTTTGTGGAATATAAAAAATGGGTGCTTGTAGGTTGTAAATGAACTTCGGCGATTCGTTCGTGAACTGTTCGGCGGGAAGTTTGTTTATGTTCGTTTATTTAATAAATGAACGAAAATGAACAAAAATTATCATTCGTTTAGTTAAATGAACGAACATGAACAATGGTCTCGTTCGTTCATTTATGTTCGTGAACGTTCGTTTATGATGTTCATTTACGTTCGTTTATGTTCATTCGTTTAAGTTTATTTATATTCATCTATATTCAATTATTTTTTTTATTATATTGCTATATTATATGTTCGTTTATGTTCATATATGTTCAATTGTGTTTTTTTTTTTTTTTTTTTTTTTTTTTTTTTTTTTTTTTTTAATCTTTGTTCGTTTATTTTCGTTTAGCATGTTCACGAATATAAATGAACGAACATGAACAAAGTAATTTGTTAAACAAACGAACATGAACAAGAAAATCTCGTTCGTTTATCCGTTCGTGTTCGTTTGTTGTTCGGCTAACTTAAACGAACGAATATAAACAAGACCTTGTTCGTGTTCGTTTGGTTCGTTTACAGCCCTAGGTGCTTGGAATCGCAATGGCCTATAAGAGGAGAACATATACGTTATTTCCTACATAGGTGTATAGTTTTAGCTAAAATTAGGCGAATTTCCGCGCGTTGTGCATTAAACACCTATGTTATTGAAGTCTTTACAAATACATGATTTTTTTTTAAATATAACAATAACGTTGTTGTTAAATTTGATATAATAATTTGTATATACTAAATTGATATAATATATTGTTTATTTTCAATTATATGATAATATATACATTTATTATAACTTCATAATCTCAATCGTTTGAATGACGCGCGTTGCGCAGAAACACCTATATTGTTGAAGTTTTTACAAATGTATGATTTTTTAAATATAACAATAACGTTGTTGTTAAATTTGATATAATAATTTGTATATATTAAATTGATATAATATATTGTTTATTTTGAATTATATGAAAATATATACATTTATTATAACTTCATAATGTCAATCGTTTGAATGACTTCTACCCACGAGTTACACATGAATAAAATTAAATATAATATATGATTTGATGTTATTTATAGTTGTTTTTATTGTTAATTAATTTTTTAAATTTATTTGGTTAATGTTTTAATTTCTATCATTATAATTATTTAAAACATCAAACATTGTTTTTATTTTTTTATTTTAAAGCTAACAATATAATCATTTATATAGAGTTGTTTTTAACTATTGTTATTGTAAGTTATTTTAAGCTACTTATTTTGAAAACTCTTAATGATTATAAAAATATATTTAAGAAATAATTTAGTTAAATTGAGATTATAATTTAGTTTTCGCTTTTATCACTAATATTTGTCACTTTTAACTATTTAAAAAATATTCTTTAGCTTTTTCAAATAAAACTGAAATTTATATTTGAGTTGACATTGTAATGCGCAGAAACACCTATATAGTTGAACTTTTTATAAATATATAATTTTTTAAAATATAAGACTAATGTTGTTGTTAACTTTGATATAGTAAATGACTTGGGTTGTGGTGACTTGGTAAGACATGTAGAAGATATGGTGGATAACCTATTGACCCATGTTCAAATCCTAGCACCACCCAGCCCTTGTAGCCATGGAGGTTCGCCTGCAGTGACTCCAAGGCATGAGGCAAAGCCTCATGTTTGCAGCGGAGGATTAGTCGGTGTGCGAAAGTTGACCCGGAAACCCTCGTTAAGGAAGTTCCCTTTCCAAAAAAAAAAAAAAAAAAAAAAAAAAACTTTGATATAATAATTCATATATTAATTTGATATATTATATTGATTATTTTGAATTATATGATAATATATAAATCTATTATAAC